GGAGAGGGGGAGAAAACCCCCACCCGCCGGCCCCCGTCTTCGGGTTTTTGTGCAGCGAAATTGGGCGTTAAATAGTTCGTACGTCTGTTTGACCTCATCTCATTGCGGCCTTTCAGTACCTAAAGGGGGCCTATAGGAAAGATGGGGACAATCTTTTTAGCAGGACCGGCTGTGACAGGACAAGGGGTAATGGTTTTAAACTAAACCAGGGTAGGTTTAGACTGGATAGAAGGAAGAAATTCTTTAAAATGAGGGGGGTGAAACCCTTGGCACAGGTTGCCCAGAGAGGTAGTGGAGGCCCCATCCCTGGAGACATTCAAGGCCAGGTTGGACAGGGCTCTGAGCAACCTGATCTAGTTAGCAGTGTCCCTGCTCACTGCAGGGGGGTTGGACTAGGTGGCCTTTGGGGGTCCCTTCCAACCCAAAGCATTCTACAATTCCACGATCTGCGCCTCACCAGGATAAGAATCGTGTTTTGGTTCAAAATTGTCCCCTGCTTTTATTTCAAGAGAAAAAAAAACCCACAAAAACCTTTCAAGCCATTATTTTTGGCACCAGCTGCCCCAGTGTGTGGGCTTAAATCATTCCACTCGGACTTGGATTCTGTCAACCCTGGTCAGAATTTGGCCCAGATTAAAGTTTAAGTTATCAGATGCTTGAAGATGGCTACGGGAGTGTCAGACACACGCTTTTCTGTAAGAGTAAGGTGTTAAAGCTTGCTGTGTGGGTATAGAAAAGATTTTTTAAAAGATGCTTGAGTGTTACGTTGCTAAATGCAAATCCATGACACAATGAAACCCATAAAACAGGCCTGAGTCAGAATCTGAGGTCACGTATAAGACAAATGTAATACTGTGAATTTCTCTGGGTCTGCTGTATATGGTCTTTAATGTGTGCATTACGCCACTGTAAAAGCTGGAAAGACTGGAGAGCTGAGCAGCAAGGTGGTTTTCATCTGCTTTTGGGGGAGGGAGGGGGGGGGAGGCAGGGGGAAGAAGGATAACTTTGTTTTCAGCTACTAACTTGCCTGGTGAAGTCGGTGGCAGGGCCTGGGGGGCTTCAGTGGAGCGAGTGACTTTTCCCAGCGCTCCGCAGTTTGTATTCCTGCCTGTTGCATCCAGGTGGGGCTGGGCCCCACTAACCAGGGGCAGGGGAAAGGCCTGCGTGGGGTGCGTGGGGCAGATGGGCATCCTCAGTGTCTGCCTGGTTTCCATCTCTCTGACAGCAGAGGGGGCAGCTGGGGGCTTTGAGGATGCCCTGGCACTGGCATGCCTGTACCTGCATCCTGAACGGCCTTTTTCCTTGCTCTCCATCAGGTGTCTTTTTTAAACAGCCGTGCAGTGGCTTTTCGTACAAGGCACCTTGTGGCCCTGCAAAATTAATGAAGCATGGCTTCTTTATTTACGAAAGCGCCCTTACAGTTTGCACGGTGGCCTCAGGTCATTGCGATGCAGGCAGTGGCGTGGCGGTGCCGGGGAGCAGGCGGCTGTGGGAGAGCACGGGCTACCTGGCAATCCCAGAGCCGGACTCATTAGTTAACAGTTGCTGATAATAGGCTTTGCCACCTGGGATTTCCTGGGGAAACAGCCCATTTCAATATGGACCCGCAGAGTTTTCTCTTTTAGGGAGATGTTTACCTCATTGCAGCTCTGTTGAAAGCCTTGTGAAGTGCTTCGGCTTCATTTTAATGTATGTGCTTGTTTTAAAAAGCTGTGTACAGAAATTATACTTGCTAACCAGAATGGGGTATTAGTTACCTTACGTAGTCTTTGTTGGATTTAAAGCCGTCACTTATGAGAGCAGGCGAAGATTAGAAAGATCTGTGTACACTAAAACTCCAGAAGAAGCCGCACACGAAGGAGAAATTTTGTTTTATTTATTGTTTATGTTAGTAGGTAATTCTTCCTGACTCCGCAATTAACTTTGAGCAGTAAGCCAAGGAAAGCTTCTAAAAAGCTCTGCGGGGGGATAATGATTACTTAATCCTGTCTAAGGAGATTTTAATGGAAATAATATAAAATCATATTATATTTAAAATGATTCCTTAAGGACAAGACAAAGCTCAGGGAAGTCCCCAGCAAAGATTATTTGATTTCAGAGAACATCGGATTATGTCTTTAAAACTCCTCTTCCATCTGTTTTCTAGTGTACGATGTTTCATCTCTTTCCTTTGGAAGTCTCCTGTACCAGCTTGCTCTGGTAAGATTTTCTAATCAGTGGGAAAAAAATGTATCTGTTCGCCCCTTGGTTCCTTCCCAGACAGGAGGAATTCCAAATAAACTCTGGCATCCTACACAGCTTGAAACACCCTCATGTGGCGTAAATGAAGTATTGAATAGCCGGCTATTGTCAAACAGGCGATGCCAGGGCTTGGCTGAAAGAAATGAGCAAACAAAGGCGCGCGAGAGAAGCAGGTAATGTATTGATATGAACCGGCACCGAGGCCGCGAGCGGTGGACAGAGAAAAGGGAGGGAGGGAAGTCAATTTTACAAAGGGTATATTATAAAATAGACATCAAAGTATTTGCAATGGGCTTAGGACATGCAAAAAGTGCTGTGATAGTCGCGGTGCTTTTCCGACTCAATGTAAAAGGGGAAATGACTGCCACTGTTTGGTCTACTGCACTTGAAGAAGCGACGTTTTAAATGCAGCGATGGCTGCAGAGCTTTGTGACTGAGTGTGTTTGATGGTTTTAAATGTTAAATAATTCCATTACAGTCAGGGTAAAAATGGTAATGAACAGCTTGGAAGAGTCTGAATATACTTACATGAAATGTTGAGCAATTAGCTTCTCTCCGTGAGAGTGAATCCTGCAGTTTTTTTCTCATCAGTAGCAAAGTGACCTTTAAAATATGCAGATGACACAGAAGCCGTTCCAGTAATTTATTTGATCTATTGTCTGCTGATAAATTGTGTGTAAGGATTTGGAATTTACGTGGCACAGTAGATTTTGGGTGGAAATGGACGA